ACACACCCTTCAATCATCTATGTATTATGTCTTTGTTGACTGCCTGTCTGCCTTCCCCGCACTCTGTTAGCCATCTCTGTGGATGCCTGCAAGTCAGGACTCCTGTCACTGATAAACTCAAGTTTTCTTCCTGAATGAGAGTCAAACATTTTCCGAGAAAATTAAAGAAATTTTTTTAGTTTATTGAGATGTAACTAACATTTTCTTTTCTATTTCAACATTAGTGTCCCAAACTTTAAGGCTGTATTTTTGGGGTGATAATCTTGCCTTAATTAAAACTTATAAAAAACAAAATTAGCCGGGCGAGGTGGTGCATGCCTGTAATCCCAGCACTCGGAGCCTAAGGCAGGAAGATCGTTGCGAGTTCCAGACCAGCCTGGGCTACAAAGTGAGCTCAAGGCCAGCCTGAATTGCATAGCGAGACCCTCTCTCAAAAGGACCAAAGGAAAAAAAAAACAAAAAAAAACAACCCTAATCTTTAAAAAAAAAAAAAATCTTATTGTGAGCAGCAAGTACATGGTAATGTTTACTGAAGTGGGAAATAGACCAAATGAGATACTATATATAAATCACTCAACTTAACCTGGTGCTAACAGCAAGTGCTAGCTACTTTCTTGTTTGCAGAATGTCTGTTCATTCATTTGTTGAAAATGTGGGTAAAGCTTTCTCTACATCAGGTGGGGAGATAAGAAAACATGATAGAGATCCCCAAGTAAAAGAGCTATCCAGGAAATGCTGAAGTGCTGCCGTACATATCAGCACAAGGGTGCTGGAGAAGCTTTTAGAAGAGGTTTCTAACTCCGTCTTAGGAGAAAGGAGTTGCTGAGGAAAGTGTGCCAGAGGAAATGATCTGAACAGTAGAAATGTTAACTGGCCAGAGCGGGAGATAGGGAGGAAAGTAGGCAAAAAAGAGCAGCATGTGTGCAATCCAGGGAGAGCAGGACTAAACAGGAACTCAGCAGGGTGGGAACATAACGTGGGAAGTGCTGGAGGTCACTAGGTCGGAATGCCAGGTCTAGGTGTTAGGACAAGGTGCTGTGCGTGGCCCCTGGGGCACTCCTGAAGGGCTTTCTGCAGTTGGTGGCACATCTGGGTGTGGCTGCCTGGGCAATTT